CACGTCTCGAAATCAGTCAAAAATGGCAAAATAATAAACCTCGTCCTCTCTCGAGTCTAACCATATAAAATTCATCAACATCGAACTTCGTTTGGTCCCTCAAATCCTCACTTAAACTCTCCAAAACTCAAACCCTAACTCCCTCAATTTCACTTTGAAATCATCAATCAAATCCCAAAAACGAAGTTGGATTCATGAAATATAATCAAAACTGAGTATAGAATACTTACCCCAATCCTTATGGTGAAAATCGCTCAAATCCGAGCTCCCCAACTCAAAATATGACTGAACGAACAAACCCTCATTTTATTTATTTTTGTGCTAGCTATTCTGCCTCGTTTCTCATGTCAAACGATCCCGAAACTCATTTTTTATGCCTCCAATGGATTCCTTGTGAAATTTTAGTAAGTTAGACTATTGAATCACTCAATTTGACCTTATAATGAAGGGGATATGTAGGTTTTAATATTTGCAAATCGTGCAGATTTTTAAATACGAATTCAGTGGTAATTTCGTAATTAATCTGAAAAATCTGGCAACTTAATTGTTTTAGTAAAATGACCATACATTCCTCATACGATGCCCAAATTCGATGATTTTTTTTGCTATGGCTTCGTAATTACGATACGGATCTAATGCTTCAATAAAAACATGCTTAATGTGGTACCATTTATGTTTGAAGAAACGACGTCGAAACATAAGAAAAACGAGTGCAACGCAACCCAAACCTATCCGAAACTCACCCGATTTCCTCGGAACCCCGTACGAACATACTAACAAGTCCCATAACATAACATAGACCAACTCAAGGCCTTAAATCATGCATAACAACATTTAAACGATGAAACGCGCCTCAAATCAAACTAAATAAACTTTTGAACTTTCGACTTCTAAAAACTCGCGCCGAAACATATCAAATTAACTCGAAATTAACTCACATTTTGCACACACGTCTCAAATGACACTACGAACCTACTCTAACTTCCGGAATTCCATTCTGACCCCGATACCTAATTTTTTACTGCCGACCAAAATTGTCAAATTTTAATCTTTCGCCAATTCAAACCTAATTCTACCACGGATCTCCAAATTACACTCCGGACACACTCCTAAGTCTAAAATCACCCAATGAAGCTAACCGAATCATAAAATCCCAATCCGAATTCGTTTATTCATAGGTCAACTTTCGGTTGACTTTTTCTAACTTAGCTTTCTAACTAAGAGTCTAAGTGCCTCATTTCACTCCAAAACTAATCCGAACCCAAATTACCAATTCAAAATAACTCAACACAGCTGAACAACACAAAAATAAGCAGAAATGGGAGAAACGAGGCTATAACTCTCAAAACGACCGACCGGGTTGTTACAATACTTCTTCAAATAATCATTACAAACAAGAAATTCAGTGCCCCTATCAGTCCTCAATATTTTAATAAAATACCCACTTTGCTTCTCCACATAAACTTTGAATCTCTTAAAAATATCACATGCATCAGATTTATTTTTTAAAAAATATACCCAAGTCTTTCGACTGAAATCATGAATGAAAGTAATAAAATACTTATTACCACCATTAGAAGAAACTTCAACTGAGCATAAATCTGAATGAATTAACTGCAATGGTACATTAGCTGTCCAAGCCTTGCCTTTCTGAACAAATTCTCTGTACTTCTTTCCCAAAATACACGACTCATAATTCTTGTCAGAAAAATCAATAGAAGGCAAACCATCAATCAAATTCTTTCTTGCAAGAAATTTCAAAGTCCCAAAATTCAAATACCCATGACGTAGATGCCACAACCAAGTATCATTACATTTTATAGACTTAAAGCAAGGTAAATCATCACTATTGAGATAAATAGGCCACAAACGACTATTGTTCATGTTAAACTTTGCAATTAGTCCAAATTTATCATCACTGATTGTGCCAATCCTATACTTAAAGCGCAAATCACACCCCTTTTCTGATAGTTGCCCCAAACTCAATAAATTATGATGAATACTCGGCACATAAAACACATCTGATCCAAAATTAGAAGAACCATCTTTCACAATAATGCAAATTTTTCCCTTTCCAACAGCAGATACCTTTGCGTTATTTCCAAGTCTTACTGTACCTCTAAATGTTTCATCCAGATCAGTAAATAATTTCTTATTTCCATTCATATGATTGTTGCAGCCCGAATCAATAAACCATTCATTCCTTTTAGTTTCTTCAACCCCAAACTAGAAAACAATAAAGTCTCTTATTTATCCCCATTATTTTCACCCATCTTAGCATGTACTTCTTTATTACCATATTTATTAGACCAACATTCACTTTCATAATGTCCAAATTTACCACAATTATAACACTGAATCTTAGATTTATCACGTCTTTGAAAATTTTGATGACCTTGTTGTTCCTTCAAAAAATTATTACTACTTCTTTGTTGATAAGAAAAATTACCTTTACCACATCCTCGAAAGTTCCTTCTACCACGACCTCTACCTCTGAAATTCTGGCCTCTTTGATTTGTTTCTTTAGGATGACTTGTCTCTTCTTTTGCTTTAGGTTGATTCACCTTTGCTTGCAACGCCTCCTCCACTATTTCGGGTATGTCTTGAGTTAGGGACATCTCATATGTCACCAATTCACCTTCTAAATCATCAAGTGTAAAGTGCTAAGATCTTTGGTAGCCTAAAAAATCACATTCTTCGTGTGAAATTTTATACTCAGGGATCGCAATATTTTTTCAACCACTTTAACTTCATTTAATACTTCTCCATTGGTAGCATTGTGGTTAAGAAGAATTCTTGAATTCTTCAACACAAGCATGACAATCCTACAATAATTTTTTGTGATAGCAAGTCTACAATTGAGTTAACAAAGAAACCAATTTTTCATGGGCGTAGCAAACACATTGATATCAAATTTCACTTTATTTGTGACTTGGTTCAAGACAAGGAGATAGTTATTGAGTATTGCAAGACTGGAGAGCAAGTTGCTGATGTTTTCACAAAGCCACTAAAATTGAAGTTATTCATTAAGTTGAAGAAGATGTTGGGAATGATCAAATTTGAAGATCTTGGTTTAAGGGAGGCTGTTGGAAACTAAATCAAGATTAATTAATATTCCTAAATTGTCTAGGATTTGATATTTGGTAGTTCATTTAATTCATGCCTAGTTAGGTTTTGTTTACCAATTTTATATTGGAACAAATTTTTGGTTTGTAGTATTATAAATAGGGGTGCTACTACATATTTTCTATTGTAGAGAAGTAACTATGATGTAGAGAGATTCAAGAGTTTATGAGTTGTGAAAAAGCCTCCTACCACATTTTCTCCCTAGTTTAACAAATTTCTTCAATTCTTGTAAATAATTCTTTGATAGACTCTGTTGGTCTCATACGAGCCAACTCAAATTGACTCCTAAACTCTTGTAGTTTCTCCTTCTTTATGTGAGCAACTTTTCGATATGACTTTACCAAGATTGTCCAAGCCTCCTTTGATGACTTTGCATGCAAATATTTTTTAGATGCATGCAATTCGACCTTAATGGCGAGATAGTAGCGTGCCTTATAATCTAAATGTCTTTTCTTCTCCAATTGCATAGCTGCATCACCCGTCAATGTTGTGCCTTCTGGAGGTTCCTCAAATTCTTCATCAATGGTGGACCATAATCCAATAGCCTTAAAAAAATTCTTCATATGTTGATACTAAGTTTCAAAATTATTTTTGCCATCAAACACAAAATCGGGACAACTAGGTAATAGAGTATCCATATTATTTTTGGATCTTTTACCGGCTCTAACAAGATCTCATACAGGCTCTGACATAATTTCACACAAGCTCTGATACCAATTTGAAAGATTGAAATACCCCAAGAATAATTTAGGCACAAACAAAAAATTCAATAAAGACTATATAGAAGAAAATTATTAAACTAGGGAGAGAACGTGGTAGGAGGCTTTTTCATAACTCATAAACTCTTGAATCTCTTTACATCATAGTTACATCTCTACAATATAAAATATATAGTAGCACCCCTATTTATAATACTACAAATCAAAAACCTATTCCAATATAAAATTGGTAAACAAAACCTAACTAGACATGAATTAAATAAACTACCAAATATCAAATCCTAGACAACTTAGGAATACTAATTAATCTTGATTTAGTTTCCAACCGAGAAGTAGAAGAGTTTAACTAGGAATGTTTAAAAAAAAATTGAAAATAATCAAACTACTTTAAAGTTGAACCTTTATTTCTAAAAAACATCATTTCGTAACTAAATGCGTACACACTTTCACATCCTACTATTGATATAAAAACAATCAGCTCATATGACAGAAAAAACTTTTACATGTTCTTAACTTCTCTTTCTTTGTCCAAAAGTTCTGGGAAAAAATATAAACTTATACTTGCAAGTTTTAACCTCTTATTGATGATTTAAAATAATTTGGAACTTTGAGGTTGATGCTTATGACGTCGTAATAAACATAATTTTCATATGCAAGCTACGCTTATGTGATTTCTCGTTACATTTTTTTTTCCAGGATGAAGATAAGCAATACTCACTTTTGAATAATTTAATGACTCAAACTACTCACGAATATATTTAAGGAATTATTTTAAATCTATGGTAAACATAATAAACTATTTTTCTTATTTTCTGTCGAAAGATTTTCATGTTAAATAGACTTTACTCCTCCCCCCCCCCCAAAAAAAAAACAAAAAAAACAAAGAGAGAATAAAATAGAAGAGAGGTGGATTGTTGGTATTCCGTATTTGGGAGGACGTGGCATGTGAGTACACGAATACTCCTATTCCTGATTTGCCGGCGAATATTCCACGCTGTCACCGACGCATCACCAAACCACACCGTAAAGTTTTTCATTTAATTAATATTAATCTTATATTAATTATAATTATAATAAGTTAATAATAATATGATGTGATGTGGTAAAGTGGTCCATTTTATCATCGAGCATTTCATTATTCATCATACACTACAAAGCGTTTGGATCAAAATGACATAGTATTAGTTTTTCGGCGGTCATGTGTCTTCAGATTCCTCGCCGATGTTTCCTCTCCGTGTCGTTTTCTCTATGAAATTGATACCACAACAAAGTTAGTAGTACTATATATTATATTATCTGCCAGTACCAATTATTATACACATTTTCATGCTTTAGCAACTCGATTTGATATTGGAAATTTTTCTTAAGTGTTTTTTTTCCCGTCATTTGTTACGTTAAATATGTAAAAATATTCTTGTTGATATGTTTCAGGAGACACAAACTAAGAATCTCTGCTAACTTTAATAGAGTATTACGTTGTACTCTTTCATTTTAAAATAATAACCTAATAGAGGGACATTTTTATTTATTTATGTTAGAGTTTGTGATTGGAACCTCCATTTGATTCTCTTCCTCTCTTTATTGATTTTACATCCTTCTGATCATCATATCTTCCCTTCTACTAATATAGTTTCTGTCCTTTTGAGATTCGTTGTCCTACGTAATAAGTTTCAAGGCTACATTAATTATATCAATCTGTCTTTCCCATTGACTTTTTGAGCTTTCTTGTTACTCAAAATCACTGTTTTCTAGTCACTTTTGAGTGTCTTGATTTAGTGGGAATAGAAGTGAAGGAATAAACAGTAGTTATGTATAATAATGGAAGTGGGGTGGGAAGAGGAGGAGGTTTTATGTATGAGAATGAAGTAGTGATGACAAGAGACCCAAAGCCAAGGTTGAGGTGGACTGCTGATCTACATCAACACTTTGTCGATGCTGTCACTAAACTTGGTGGTCCTGATAGTAAGTCTTTCTTTTTCTTCTACTTTTAATCTTGTTTTTTGTACTAAGTCAAGGTTTTATGCATTTGTTTGGCCATCTTTTTCTGCTTTCTGTGTTTGGAATTACTGAAATTCACTTTGGTTCTGTAATACTTCAAGATCACCTATTCACTACAAATAAATCCAAGTTTACTTCTCTCAGAATTATAGTAGTGTATCTTTAAAATGGTACTTATATTTTAGGTTTTCTAATGGTTTTCTGTAGGCTAATATATACAGGTGTTTACCCTTAAAATCGGATAACAATTAAATTTTTAAGTGGTTTTAAGGATATGTGATTTCACTTGGCGCAAACTGAGAAATATAAGAATTGAAGTTAGAAATTAACTGTAAAATGAAGCAAACCAATGTAACGCGCAACTTTGGCCCTCAAGCTAGGTCGCCCTCGAACCAACTGAGTATATTATTGAGAAGCAAGAACTGAACAACTGAATAAGAGAGCTTAAGAGAGAAAACGTAATATCTTCCTTTGTTATGCGTGAATCCCCTTTATATAGTAGAGGAGTTCTACATATGGTACAATTCTAAATGCAGAAGTAAATCTTCTGATTGACTAATCAACCGGTCTTGACTTGATATATGCCGAGATCTCCGCCACAATCTTCGTCCGGTCACGAATTCCTCGGCTTTCTGCTATTCGACTTAGCAGGCCTCCTTCGATCTCGCTAGATACCTATCCTTCTTGGTCTCGACCTTAACTGGTCTCGATCTCGATCGATCCCTGAATCACGAGTTAGACAATATTTATTCACGCAATGATCCAATATAACTTGAGATTGAACCTCGGTCTGCCACCCCGATCTCGATTAACCATACAAAATCGGATAAGCACGATTTTGACCCTATACAATAGGCTAGTGCTTTCTTGGCTATATGTTCCCAAGTCATTGTTTTGAGAAAGATGCTAGTTTTTCAGGGTTGGATTTAACTTTTTGCTTTTCAACTGGATAATTAAAATATGAATTTTACATGTATTCTCTTTCTTGTGCCAAAGTTATTTCCTACATTTGGAGCCAGTTTCCGTTTTATGCTCTGAAATGTTTGATAAAAGGTTTTGGATTTACAGAAGCAACTCCCAAATCAGTACTGAGGTTAATGGGCGTAAAGGGTTTGACACTATACCATTTGAAGAGTCACTTGCAGGTAAAAGTTTGTTTCTGCACCTCTGTTTACAAATTTTCCTCTCTCTGATAAACCTTTCAAATGGTTTTTCTTCTTGTATATTCAGAAGTATAGACTTGGACAGCAGGCCAAGAGACAAAACATAGCTGAGCAAAACAAAGAGAACAGTGGTGAGTTTGCTATAATTTGGAGAATCCAATTTGAAGTTCCAGCAGAGAACATAATGGACTCCTCAGGACTTTTGTTGTTCATATTTTCTCGCCGTTATTCTAATGCTTAATGTTGATCCTGCTAGTAAAACTATGTTCATAAACAGAAAATCAAAACCGTTAGTTAACACAAGACAAAAAATACAAAAAATATTACGAATCCAACAGAAAATTGTGTTTGCTTAAGGAATTTAATCCCCTTACAATTGCCTAAAGTTTTGGATAAATTCCCCCAGAATAGAACGAAACACTGTTCTGTAATACTAACAATAGAAATTACAGAAATTACAGAATTCCAGTGAACTCAACAAACAGTAGCAAAACCACACTTGCCACTTTTGTTTGTTTTGGAAAAAACAATGCAACAATATAGGGGAGAAGTTTTCAGATTTTTCGGTGTGTTAAAAATGAGGGCAAGCCTCTAAAAATGAAAGGGTGAGATGAAGAGGTGCAATCCAAAAAGTACATCTTCTGTATCTCATTCACACCATTTTAAAAAAACCAACAGATAATACAAATAGCCAAAAAGCAAAATTGAAAAAAAAAGCTTTTGCATGATCTTTGTATTTGAGAACATTTTTCTATACCTCTTTTTTTTCCTTTTTGCACTAGTGATGTTTCGCGTACAAGGAAATATGATTGCATTATTTTCTCCAATTTTACAGGGGACTCGTCGGGACAATTTAATTTGCATTCCTCAGGCCCCAGTACCTCTTCATTAAGTATGAACTATATGCAAGGGTAGGTGCCATGAATCTCAACTGTTACTCTTCACTTTGTTGCTTGTCATTTATCTTAGTTACACGCCATAAGATGCTCAGTTTAGGTACTAATATTCGTCTTTATTAAATTCCAGTGGTTTACAGATCAATGCTTCTGTATTTTCAGTCTTGAGAAATTAAGCACTGGTTTTATTAGTTGCATATATGTGTGCTTTTTAGGCTTAATGTATATTTGGTTTAACCATAATGGACCTTATCAAGCTTAATTTATTCGGCTAAACTAGTGTCTTCTCACTAATATCTGAACAGAGATGTTCCAATAGCAGAGGCAGTAGTGAGTCAGATTGAAGTTCAGAAAAGATTACAGGACCAGCTTGAGGTATGCATAAACTTATTTACTAGCACTATTTGTATTCCTCATGAGCGAAAACCATGAAACACACACACACACACACACACACATATAATGGTGTTGCGCGATGATCTGTGAAGTAATGATCTTAATCTTGTCTTACCCTAGCCCTCAGCTTTCATTTTGACATGATCCTCATCCTAATTGCGGGACTAATTCTCTGGTCTAAACACAGGTGCAACAGAAATTGCAAATGAGAATAGAGGCACAAGGTAAGTATTTGCAAGCGATATTAAGTAAAGCTCAGAAAAGCATTCCAGTCAACATGAATTCTCCTAGTGCAACAAGAGCTCAGCTTACTGATTTCGATTTACCTCTGTCAAATTTAATGGATTACGCGAATAGAGAAAACCAGGATGATAAAATTATTGATAAAAGAACACATGATAATATCAAAGAGGAGCTACAAAGGTCTAATTACATTGTGGAGGAAGAACAAAAGAGCAATACTGTGAATCTTAAGCTCAAAGAAGCTTTCATTAACTTCGATTTGAACTCCAGAAGTAGCTATGACTTTGTTGGTGCAAATGCAGCCATATTGGAAGCCAAATCACTTTCAGATGGAAGATTAGAAACATAGCATTTATCAACACATAGTCAAGCTACCTTTTTTAGTTCTGCTTTGAAAACATTATAACTTGATATGTGAAGCTGTGATTACTGATCATATGTTATTCTTCATCTTTGCAATGAATAGAAAGTTAAAGAACAGTAAATGATATCTGTCGCGGTAAGTATTGCAGAAATAATACAAGATTATCATTGATTAGTCTCTTCAGTACACAAGATTATTGTAGTACATTATTTGCGGTAATTTTCTTTGAACTCCAAATCAAACAGTGTGTGAAAGAGAAAGCTAATTAAGATATCGTTTTAAATATTCATCCATACGAGTGTAACGAACTTCAGGGTAAAGTTTAGAAGCTTCTTCTGCATTTTCTCCAATTTCAAAGTTTGTTAAACAACCTTCGTAAAATATGTGGTAGAAATGTCCAACTCCTACCTGCCCAGCATAGTCCATTCCTGCAATATTACCATTACTCAAATGTCAACTACATGAATGATGGATCCTCTCCTTTTCTTTTAGCGGGTTTTTGAATTATTATATTAAGGTTAGAAAAGTGAGTACTAAAGATTCTTTTAATACAAAATTAATTAATCAAAAGCATAACTAGGAATTATTTTTAGAGTCACGGGCTTCACCAAATTCTTTGAATTAGTTATAAAATATGCATTCAATCTTTTGAAATAATAGTTACATATACATAGAACGTAGTATTTCAGTCCGGTGCACAAAGCATCCCGCATTCACGCAGGGTCCGAGGAAGGGCCGCACCCTTTAGGTGTGATGTAGACAACCTACCATAATGCAAATATTAGGGGCTCTCCTTCCATATAAACTATAGTTTCTCAGAAAATAAAAGAGTATTTAAAAAATAATAGCCAACAAAAGATTACTTCACTAATTAATTCCCAGAAAATAAAAGGAATTCTTTTTGGATAGAGGAAGCACCTTTCATGGAAGATAAGAAGTCTTGTTCAGAGATGCTAATTTTCTCAAGGTCTGTTCCTTTAAGCTTTTCCCACTTGGCTATCAACTCCCTTTGAGTCAGAATGTTTTCCTGTGGTCTAAGGTAAACCGTCTTGTTCAGTGTCCTTGGATCATCTATGCTTTTAATTGTGTATGTTGCTACATCATCTTCATCCATATACACCACTGCATATAATTAACCCAATAATTTTTTTTTTTTTTTTTTTTTTTACAAAATTAATCTTTTTCTGAAAAGTATATCTTAAAGATAAATATTTACAAGTATTCAGAAAAATTATTGTGTGTACCTTTAACATTGCCATGTCCATAGACACAAACTTTGTCTTTAGGAGGAACAAGAGTTCCAAGTTGCGAGAGGTTGCCAGCAAAGTAACCAGCAAAGCAGTTAGCAGAAATGTACGTGTAAGGAATATGAGCTTCTTCTATCGCTTTTCTCACTTCCATCTTCTCATCAAATGTCACTCTTCCTGGTTCTATTGCATGTCCCATTATTGCTGGATCCATTCCAAATTCCGATGGCAAGAACCGCTGCCAATTTCATTTTCTTGTGTAAAATAAAAATAAAAATAAAGGAAGTAGCAAAATTTTTACTCCATACGGCCATAGAGGCGGACTCAGGATTTTAACGCGACGGGGCACATTATGTACCTCTCTGTAACCTTGAGGGGTCATTGGGTTCCACGGGCGGCTCAACAACATGCGGTGCCTAAAACCAAAGTTTAATATGTGTCTATATTTTTAAAAGAAAGTTATAAGATTGTTTTTATTTGAAGTCTATTCGTCTAACTTTTTGAGATACAAATTTTAAATAATATTTTTTATAATCGATTTTTTCTAATAATTCCTTCTCAATTGATGATATAACCAATTCATCAGTTAATCTTTCTTGAGAAATTGTTGATCTTAAATAAGATTTTATAGAGTAATAAAAGTATAGAACTATTGGAAACTTAGAAGTATTGTTGAACACTTGCACTAATGAAATCTTGGAGAAATAAGCTAAGTAAGAATATCAAAGAGAAAAACAAAAAATAAGGGGTTTCTGAAATATGAAAGAGATTGGAAATAAGAAAGATTGACTTGACAAATTAAGGAATAAAGTAAAATTTTTAAACGCTGTCTAATGAATGAGTAAAAAGTGAAAAATTGAAACATTAAAAAAATTATTCATCTAACCATTTTTAAGTAAGTTAAGTTATTATTTTAACTCTACTTTTATATTAAAAGTACTAAATATTATTTTTAAATACCTATAAATCTATTATTTTAAAAAAATAAGGCCCCTCAAATTTGGGGCCAAGTCACAAGCCTTACCTTCCATAACACTGGAGCCGGCCCTGTTGGGTTCTTAAACTTCGGTAAAAAACTTATACAGGAGTTCTGAATTTGACCATGCATGTAATACTCCACTAGTTTAATTTTATTTTTATGGTTTGTTTTATCTTGATGATTGTAGCAAATGTGTCGAAGACCACATGGTACGTAATTGTTGGAGTACTAAAAAGTTACCTATATCGAAAGGAAATATATACATAGAGAAATGGATTCGTATCTTTACATAAGATACGTGGAAGAATATATCTATCTAATAAGAAAAGAAATGGAACGAAAAGATGAGTTTGACATAACGAATGACGGGACTAAGAACACAAAAAATATTGCTTTTTCTCGTATAAAAGAACTATACTCTCGGTACCAATTGATGTGATGCACCTTTCGTTTTCGCTCTATTTAAAAAAATGATACTTTTATATATATATATATA